TTAAGATTTTGTAAACTTAGTACATTATCTGTTGATAAACTCAGCAAGTGAATTTTTAAACTAAAACTGCTACAGTTTAACCAGCAATACAATTAAAATATCTGGATTCAAAATTCTGGTCAGCCATGAAGTTTACTGGATGACCTACAGTTAGTTACTACCTCTTGTTCTAACCCATTTCATAGAGTTGTTGTATAAGAAAGAAGACCCAGTATCTGCTGCCCTGAGGAACTTGGATGATAATCAGGATATAAATGTAATAAAATTATTTTATAACCCCCCTTCAGAATGGAACTATGAAAGGCAGAACCACAACAGCTATGTCTTCTTCCACTCTTCCACTCAGAATTCACAGATTTTTCATTAGGGTTCTGAAATATCATACATTGATTGTTTTAAAACTTTATTCCAACACTTCTGGGTGGAATCAAAGTCCACTACTCCAAGCGCATCATATCTTCCTAGTTACCTATGGAAAAGGAAAGAACCATGCTCATGCCATGGATCCCATGGATCATTACTTTTTCATAGATTACTACTGGAAATCCATTTGTTTATCATCCTTGCAACTGGAACCAATAACTTCAGTATGAATTATTTAAATTAAATGATTTATTTATTATTTATATATTTATTTATTAGACTTTTATCCCGCCCTCCCGGTTGTAGCCGGCTCGGGGCAGCTTACAATCAGGTAAAATCCAAATACATAAATAACAGTGATAATATTAACATTAAAATACCATTAAAACCATAGTAATAAAGTGCTAGTCTTATCCGTTAATGCTGATTGGTCTTCTGATGTAAAAAACCAGCTTCAGATGTCATAAAGGGCAGCCTCAGAGGTCATAAAAGGGGGGGGGGAGAGTTGACACAGGCAGAAATTAAGGTCCAGCAGGTCAGGGCTCTTCAGTTACCATTACCAATGGCAATGGAGATCAAGGTGGTGTTAATCCTAGTTGTGGTGGCGGCTCCAAAGGCCTGGTGGAAGAGCTCCATTTTACAGGCTCTGTGGAATTGTGGGAGGTCCCACAGGGCCCTGGTCTCCTCCGGGAGCTCGTTCCACCAGAGTGGAGCCACCACCAAAAAAGTCCTGGCCCTGATCGTCGCCAGACTGGCCTCCTTAATACTCAGGAAAAACTACAGTCATAATAAATACAAAAGCATACTATATCCACCAGAAACCTCCAGGCTTGAAGGTCAAAATCACGTCCTTCTTTCACTAATTTTGTCTGCAACTCCGCTAAGGAGTCACTATTTTTTTTCTACTCTACCTTGTGGTCTAATAATCCATGTACCATGTCAACAAGATGCCAGGCTTCTAATGAGTATATATGGTATGTGTGAGGGAATGTATATATAATGAGAAATTTTTTTATATAGGTATGTACTCACATATACAAAAATATATGCATGCCTGTAGGCAAGGCTCTTTTTGTAGCAGGTACTCATTTGCATATTAAGCGACACAACCCTAATGTAGCCAATCCTCCAAGAGTTTACAGTAGCTCCTGTAAGAAGAGCTCTGTAAGCTCTTGGAGGATTGGCTACATTAGGGGTGTGTGGCCTAATATGCAAAGGAGTTCCTGCTACAAAAAGAGCCCTGCCTGTAGGTACAAGTATAAAGAATTCAACAGAGAGAGAATTTATTCTCTTATTCTTTTAATCCTATTTCTGACATTCTTCAAAAGAGAAATAATGCATCATAGATAATAACAATGAGACAAGAAACATTTAACAACTTATTTAAAATTTTTAAAAATGGGTTTGACTTCCTTTATTTAGGCCTATTTTTAATTCGTAATGGACTTGCTAGAGAACGTCAGCAAAAGATTGTTCTAACTCAGGCAGAAATTACAATGACATGCACTTCATGCACGCACTGCAGTGACTTCAACCAGAAGTGACATCATCATATTTCTGACATTGGGGTGATGCTCTAGGTTTTGGGCAAAGGTTTTTTGGGCCTCAAAACTATAGAGTTTTGCTCAAAACCTAGAGCATCACCCCTGATATTGGAAACGATGATACCACTCCCGAGTGACATCATTGTGCTGGTGCCAGCTGGGCTGTGGTGGATTGGGGGATCTCCTAGCCATACCGGGGAAATGGCAACCATAGTGAAGACTGTTGTTCAGTGATTCTTTACCTATCTGGCTGTTTACCTATCTGGCTGTTTGCCTTTAGAGATGATAATATGAGGGACACACTTCCTCTGCTTTGACTGTATACTACATTCATTACATTTCATAGAAATCAAGCTCCAGGGCCAGGTATGTACTAATTCTATTTTATGTACATACTGATTAGTACTACTGCACCAATGAAATAATTTGCCTTGTGGATTTTCACAACCACACAGGGACTGGTTCTCTTCTTTGTCCCCTCTCTGTTCACAGTCTTCAACCACCACTACTTTAAAAAAATGTACAAGGATCTGCACTACTGCTTCATGAATCAATATTATAATTCTTCCATTGCAAAAGCAGTAGGAATATCAGCACAGAATGTTACTTCTGCTACATATACCCTCCTCTCTCCTGGAACCCCTTTATCTGAGTAGGGTTTATGAGACAAAGAAGACTTGTTCATCGCAGGCATAAATTTGATGCAGAACATCCCAAAACCCTAATTCAAAATTTCATTTTCCATATTGTAAAGTACCACAAAGCAAGATGGCCTTTGGCAGTCAAACTTCATTTGTGCATGGGTTATGTGCCCCAAATTCAATGCTGTTGGGAAGTGCCTTTATATTAAAGTGACATCAATCAGTGACATGTAACTGTCAGACATATTGCACAGCTAGTTTTCTAAAAAGTGATTTTTTTATATTTTTAAATGTATTATTACTTAGTTTTAGTATGTTAATTTGCACAGTTGCACAGTTTCCAATGAATATGTTGTCTTAGTCACATATTTTTTCTTTAAAAGGATAATTTTAAAAAGATGCAAAAGATTTAACAAACTACACATTAAAACTGCTGTCTATACTGTCTTGCAACTTGATTCATGCAAATCTTCTAGGGATAAAGATCAACCACAATTTAATTTTAAACCTGTTCCAACCAGCAGCTATGCAATTTATGTACTATGTTTCTATTTTTACTGCAGGATAATGACAATGATGAATGCTTCTACCAGGAAATAAATATTCATTCATTACAAAGCTCAAATCAAAACTATATGCCTTCCCAAAGTATATGAATTTGCAAGATCTATTTGCTGCTGTGAGAGATTTATTTGGGAGGAAGATGGAACTGTACTTACAGCCACATCTCTTGACATTTTAATAGTTCAGTTAAATTAAACCTACGGCAATAGTTACTTGTAACCAAGATAATCAATATAATTAAAGCTGGTGTCAGCTACAATAATATCAAATACATGTGGATGGACAAGTTATTAGGACATAAATCACACCAGGATATACAAATATGTGATATTAAAGAGCCCTAATGGGGATGCACTCATCTGCTACTAATCCTGTTTCTGGGTCACTGCTCCTCTGACCAATATTGCTGACAACATCGAAAATATATAAACAAGGAACAAGTGTTTTCTTATTAGCAATAATAGATGATATCTAACACTTTTTTGCATAAACAAGTCACACCATCAGAGTGAGACTAATTGCTCTTAATGAAGAATGGCAACAGCAGTGTCATGATTATATAGTTCAGGGGCATATGTAAGAAATTTATTTGTATAATTAATATATATATATGATGCTTCTCAACCATCAGGCACGGGGTGGTGAACAACAATATAAGATACATATATAGAACTGCCTAGGAACCTATAGTAATAGCTTGGTAAGAAGTAGTATCACAAAATATTTTTGAAACTTATGGATTTCAAGTGATTTTCAATGTATTGCCATGGGCTGCTATTAAAACAGGAGAACATTAATTTAATGATTTCACTCTCCCTCACAGGGTTTCCCTTTATCTCCTTTTTGGCAGAGCAGCCTTTTCCCCATTTCTTCTTTGTTTCTCTTTGGCTGTCTCACTTTCATTTGAATGTGTATTACTAGATGCTGACCCAGCCTAGGGAACTGAGGGGAGATACTAAAACCCTCCTTTTTGTCCTGGTTTGATAATGGCACACAGGAGGTTGGTGGAAGTTAAAAAATAACAAACCGTTCCATTTAACTTTGAGGGGAAATGGCCAGGTTGGAATCAGGTGTAGGATTTATGAGGTGAAGACACAACAAGAGTGAGGGAGCTTTGTATACAAATAAATGCCAGATCATCTGTCACCAACAAGCCACTGTTTTTGTTATTCAGAAACGTCTTTAAAACTTGAGGAGAGAGATTTCTTGGAAGTCTCTCCTTAAATACACAAGAATAAGCTTCTTTGTCTCACAAACACTTAAGTTGGTGAAAGCAGGATCATTCAAATAAGCTCCAGTTTCCTTCCTTATCTCCAGGCTAGGGATCACTCCCTTCTTACTCAAGGTTCTCAGACCAGGTTGCAGCAGTAACCATTTTCTGTCCATCATATACAGTTATTGTTCCATTGTATTTCACCATTATGACTGAATTAAAGCTGGGTATACAGCTGTCTTCTGACCATTTCTGCTTCAGGACAGAGGTGGGAGACTGAATTATCCCTGCCCTTGTAAGACCTTTCCTGCAAATAGAGGAAAACACTGATCTAGAACACTTCTACTTGACAAGATAGCTTTCTGTGTACAAAAGGCCTTACATGTGAGGCAGAATTCAATCATGCATTCCTTTTATTGCATTCCTTTTATTGCATTTGAATTCATCCAACTCCAGGTAACAGCGTTCCGTGCGCCTTGGTGTTAGTCATGCCAGCCACATGACCATGGAAATGTCTTTGGACAGCACTGGCTCTTTGGCTTTGAAACGGAGATGAGCACCACAACCCTAGAGTCGGACTCGACTGGCTTTCAAGGAAGGGAACCTTTACCTTTACCTTTTACTTCAGCTGCAAATGAATACATTAGATTTGAAAAACTAAACATTGATTCTTACCTTGAGGCACTCTTCTTGTCTGCCAAGATCCTCACAGTCCCTCCCCTGCAGACTAGGAGAATTAAGGATGTCTTCCATGTTAGATAAAGCTTGTAGAAGCCGAAGGATCTCTGCCAGATATGCAGAAGGCACGTAAGAGGTTTCCATAGTCATACCTTCCGTCATCAAAACAGTTGTCTCCTCATAAACAGTTTGCTGGTATAGATACATAAAAGAATTTTTCCTTTAGTTTCAGAATGTATATAACTCTTAAATAGAATATAAAGCAAGACTTCATTGACACATTTGTATCACTACTATAGACCATCTCCCTCAAATTATTTTAAAATAATTATTACCTACCACTAATTTGAATCAGTAGTTTGTTAAAGCTTTTTGCTGCATTGCTTTACCTAACACTTCTCCAATATGTAGCTTATAATTTTGTATTTTAATGGCTCTCTATAGCTAGTATGAACTACCACACATTGCAGATATTGTTGGCCATGATGCCAAAATCCATGTGTGCACTTGGGTTTTCTGTGGAATGTTCCTAGCACCATCTCCCAGCTAGCATATTCATAATACCTAGGAGAAAACTGGCAACTGTTATCAAGGAGAGTATTAGGAAGATGTAGATGTAGCTTGTTTGTGCAGTCATTGAGATCGTGGCCACTATCTCAAGTCCCAACATTTGAATTTGTCTTCCTAAATAGTGTGAATGCCAAGAGTCCTTGAACATTTCCTTTCATATACTAAACAATGTGTTTTATAAAACTGACCACAAAACAAAGATCAGTTTACAAAATAAGAAATAATATCTTAATAATAAGCCTCTCTCATCGATTGCTGTCCTGATGTGGCAAGGGGGCTTGCATGGTTTGATGAGGCTGCAGGCTATGCTGTGGAGGGCCACTCAGGATGGACAGGCCACAGCAGAGAACTCAGACAAAATGTGATCCACTGGAGAAGGAAATGGCAACCCACTCCAGTATCTTTTTGGACAGGAATGGGTGAATTTAACTCAGAAGACCATTATATCTACTACTGTGGCCAAGAATCCCGAAGAAAAAATGGTGTGGCCTTTATAGTCAACAAGAGAGTGAAAAATGCGGTAATGGAATACAATCTCAAAAATGACAGAATGAACTCAGTCCGAATCCAAGGCAAACCATTCAACATCACAGTAATTCAAGTCTATGCCCCAACCACTGACGCAGAAGATGCTGAAAAGGATTGGTTCTATGAAGACCTACAACACCTCCTAGAACTACCACCCCCAAAAGATGTCTTTATCATCATAGGTGACTAGAATGCGAAAGTAGGAAGTCAAAAGGTAACCAGAATAACGGACAAGTTTGGTCTTGAAGAACAAAATGAAGCTGGGCAAGAGAACACACTGGTCATAGCAAACACCCTCTTCCAACAACCTACTCCCCACTCCTTCACTTGCACCTGCTGGATAACCTTGAGCAAGCCATAGTTCTGGCACAGCTGTTCTTGAAAAAGAGCAGTTTCTGTCAGAGCTCTCTCAGCCCCACCTACCTCACAGGGTGTCTGCTGTGGGGAGGGGAGGGGAAGGGGAAGGGATTGTAAGCCACTCTGAGACTCCTTTGGGTAGTGAAGGGTGGGGTATAAATCCAATATCTTCTTCTTCTTCGCAACTACACACGTACATCACCAGATGGACAACACCAAAATCAGATTGATTATATCATTTGCAGTCAAAGATGGAGAAGCTCTATACAGTCAGTAAAAACAAGACCTGGAGCTGACTGTGGCTCAGATCATGAGCTACTCATTGCAAAATTCAGGCTTCAGCTGAAGGAAATTGGGAAAACCACGACGCCATTCAGGTTTGACCTAGATCACATCCCTGATGAATATACAGTGGAGGTAAAGAATAGGTTTAAGGGACTAGATTTGATATACAAAGTATCTGAAGAACTATGGACAGAGGTTTGTGACCTTGTACAGGAGGCAGCAATCAGCACCATCCCAAAGAAAAAGAAATGCAAGAAAGCAAAGTGGCTGTCTGATGAGGCTTTACAAATAGCAGAGGAAAGAAGAAAAGAGAAAGGCAAAGGCGAAAAGGAAAGATTTACCCAACTGAATGCAGATTTCCGGAGAACAGCAAGGAGAGATAAAGAGGCTTTCCTGAATGAACAATGCAAAGTAATAGAGGAAAACAGTAGAATGGGAAGGACTAGAGATCTCTTCAAGAAAACTGGAGAAATCAAGGGAACATTCCGTGCAAAGCTGGCCATGGTAAAGAACTAAAATGGTAGGGACCTAACAGAAGCAGAAGAGATTGGGAAGAGGTGGCAAGAATACACAGAAGAAATACACAAAAAGGACCTCAATCTCCTTGACAACCATGACAGTGTGACCACTGACCCCGAGCCAGACATCCTGGAGTGCGAAGTCAAATGGGCCTTAGAAAGCATTACTAACAACAAAGCTAGTGGAAGTGATGGTATCGCAGCTGAGCTATTCAAAGTCTTAAAAGATGATGCTGTTGGACTTCCGGTCTGTGGCTTCAGCGATGGCGGAGGCTCTCTCCTGAACAGGGGAGGCATTCCGTGCTCCAGGGGTGCTGGAGGGGTGCCACCTCAAGTGGCACCCCCAGGTAAGCCTCAGTGTGGAGGCTCCAAGCCGGGGGCGCTTGGGGGGGCGACCTCTTCGATGGCTTGAAGCCGGAGAATTGAGGCGCTCCTTTTTGCCCCAATCGGTCCACCCCCTGAGAGGCTCGGTTTTTACCGAGCATAGCTGAAGCCGATCGGGACAAGCAAGAGGGTCAGCGAATGAAGCGCGATTAAAAGGTGTCTGGGACCAGACCGTCAACGAATACCGTCAATGAACTGGAGAACGAGACGAGCGAAGAAGTTTGAAAAGTGAGTTCCGATTCCCCACCCCCACCCTTAGCGGCGTCGGGAGGAATCCCAGACGTAAACAAACTGAACTGTGTTTTAAAGAGACGGGGGGGAGGAGAAAAGAAAGCACTCAAGTGTGCCAGAGACTTAGCTGTTTTTTACGGATAAGTTTGCACTTGCTGAAGAAGTGTGAATAAGCACTCTTTAGTGTAAACAAAGTGGAAAATGGCCGGCGTACGAGGTAGAGGAACAAAAGTGGGGCGTGGCTCTCAAAGTCCGAGGGTAGAGGAAGGAGATGTTTTCTCCACACTATCGGAGTTGCTTCGGCCCATAAACGAAAGACTCGATGGTCTTAACCAGTTGATGGCCGCTTCGAACCAGAGTATGGCAAAACAGCAACAGCAGATCACCGAGCTCGTGAAGAAGTCGATTCAAACTGACGAAAAGCTTAAAGAGACAGCACACGAT